GGCATGTAGCAAGTATCGATATATTATTGTTGTTTTAGCCGTTTGGCTGTAATTCATGTTCAAATTAAAAAAAATGCTCGAAAAAGCAGTGTTTTTACATTTAATTGATTTACTCGAAAACTATAATACATAGAGTGAATCCAAAAGATGCATATGAAAGCTGAATGTTTGGGGAATCCAGCAAGTATCGATACATTCCTGTGCTCTTATCTATATTGCTGTAATGCGCGTTCCTTTTATGAAAGGAGATGCGCCAAATGATTACATACTTTTGTCGGAGGCGTAGTAACTTCAAGTTTGGAAGCCACAGTTTTAAGGGATGAAAATGTACCGCAATGCTTCTTCGCTAATGCTACCTAAAGCGATTATGGTAATTAGCAGGCTTAGCCAGACAAAGGTTTAGCTTTCATCGTTACTGGGTATTATTGATGTGAAAGTGCAGTAATTTTCTTGTATATTAAAACAGAGTTGCAGTAAAGCTGAAATAGTATCGTTTATATGTTAGTGATACTGCGCTGTAATGGAAGAATATGTTATCAACTGCCCACATTTAAAAACAGAATTATCGCAGAGTAAACATGAGCAACCTCAGTCTGTTTGCCGATGATAAAAAAGAAAATACGTATTTTTTTATTATTCAGAAACTAATATTTCTCAAAGTGCATTCAAATTACTAGTTATTAAGAAAATGACAAAATTAAGAACGTAACAGATAATATAAGTTAATGGTCAATTTCGAGAATTGAAAGTAAAAGAATGGAAACACATAGCTTAGTTTATTGTAATTGTGTTAAACCTAATTATTTATAATAAACTTTTCTCATATACAAAGACATTAGTCAGAGATGATTGATGTAGTTGACACGTGGGTTTTACAACATCTATTATCTAAAAATCACACAATAGAAGTCAGTGCTCAATTAAGATAACACGTTCTAATAATGTTTATAATTATTTGTTTGTGTGCAGAGATGATCGTGTCAGAAGAGATCGAAAGTTTTAGCAAATCTATTTCTTGTTCCTCTAATCTAGGATAATGCAAATTTTCGGATAAAAATGAAAGCCTCACTATATATATATATTTAAATATGCTTGAAGAATAAATTAGTTACTTTGTGTTTGTACAGTAAATATGAATAAATATGCGAGTGAAATTGAGCTCTGGCTTCTCTACTTTGCTGCCGTTTCACACAGTGCTCCAACTTGATCTAAACGACTTCAAAAGAAAAAAAAATAAGCAACGTAAGATATTCACGAAATTCCGGAGCTTTCACATTAAGAGACACGCGATAAGACTTGAATACATTTTTAGATGGATACCACAGATTCCTTTTCATCTCTCTCTCTCTCTTTCATATTATTGTTGTTTAGTGCAGACTGAAGAGCATAAGAAAAACCGCAGAATGTGTCTCTCCCAGTATGGTGGGAATCGCGCGTATCGACCAAAAGCGTGTATAA